GCCAAAAAATCTACGTACTCCTATACGTGAAATTAGGAAAAATTTTCGAAAAAATTGAAATAAGTCTCGAAACCTCAGGGCTCGACCCATATTTGAATACATATATGTACCACATTTGGTAGTGGCAATCACGTAGTGATAGTCTCCCAATGCCGGATTGCCAAAAACGGGCAGTTACTGCTACATCCCAACTTCAAAATTTTCGCACTTTTCGATATATTTCCCGCGTTTGCAATGTTAGGGAATGGGTTCAAGAGGCATTTTTGTAGCCCATTAATTGACAGTTAAAATGTGCAAAAGAACGACCAAAACGGATAAAAATCAAGAAAATTATGATTGCTCAAAGTTGACTCCCCAGATTGTTTAGAAAAAACAAAGATGGTACTGTAAAACTGGCAAACCTGGGAGAGCGCACGTAATATTCCAGTTTTGGTGTTGGGCACCTTAGACAGTCATATCCCCAAAACATCTAAGAAATCCGCGCCCCCCACCCGGGGACCTTCCCTTGTAAGTGGGAAAAACTTGTAAAAAACCCCAGCAAAATATTTTACCTGGATTCGGGTTTCTAGGCCACCAACGGAGAAACCCCCATAACTCAGTTCAAACTTAATATTTTTGAATTTCTGAATCTCCATTTTCATCAGCAGCAACTTCTGAATCATTCCTGGATTTTCCAGGAGCTTATGAAACAAAAAAAGGCAATTTGGGTTTCTAGGCCACCAACAGAAAATCTCTATAACTCGGTTCAATCTAAATATTTTTAAATTTCTGAGTCTTCATTTTCATCAGCAACAACTTCTGAATCATTTCTTGATTTTCCAGGAGCTTATGAAACAAAAAAAGGCGACTTGGGTTTCTAGACCACCAACAGAAAATCTCTAAAACTCGGTTCAATCTTCATATTTTCGAATTTCTGAACCTCCATTTCCATCAGCAAATGCTTCTAAATCATTCCTGTATTTTCCAGGAATTTATGAAACAAAAAAGGGAAATTTGGGTTTCTAGGCCACCAACAGAAACACTCTATAACTCGGCTCAATCTTAATATGTTTGAATTTCTGAATCTCCATTCTCATCATCAAATACTTCTGAATCATTCCTGGATTTTCCAGGAACTTATGAAACAAAAGCGCAGCCTTTCCTTCGACCTATTTTTCCTATCCACGTGCTATGACTGACGGCTTGCGCAATAAGTCACATCCATACCACACCCTCATAAGAAGTATATTACCTGAATTGCGTAATGCGACCGATTACGCAACAGCAGTTGTCTCAACTGCTTGATACCAGTTGGATGCGGGGGAAGTCCACGAAGTGGGCCGCTCAGTCATATACGACGGCTTTCGTGTCATTCCTAAAACTCCCGGAGCTCATGAAACAGAAAGGGCAATTTGGGTTTCTAGGCCAATTTTGGAGACGCTTTTTCATAATAGAAGCAAAACTAATTTCTGTTCAGAATCGCTTAGACCTAGAATTCCATAACTAACTACTGTCTCAGAACAGAGATCATACACCCCACTTGCTTTTCTCTTTTTTCTTTTCTTTTTTTTTCTACCCTTTTGTTATTCTTTTTTTTGCGTTGTCCGGTTTCCTCAGCTTGTCCATTCTATTCTATACCTGTCGTTTTCGCCTCCCTATTAGCTTAGTGGCAGAGCGTCTATCTTGTAAACAGAAGGTCGGTGGTTCGATTCCGGCAAAAGGAACCGATTTTTAATATGTTTTTCACAACACCATCATATTCGATTATTCGATTTCAAATCTCTTATCGTATGTTAAATTTCGAATTATTGTCTTTCTCTTCATTTTTATTTCCTTTTGCTTTATCGTCATAGTTTCCATTTATCCACTCAGCTACTCTTTTGATTTGTTTATAATCGGCACACTTCAAAGCTTACATTCTTTTGGGTAGACATTGATGGCAATAGTCACGCCCCTCCCAGCTGTTTATTCCGATTGACCGCCAGCTGTCTGTATGCGTACAGCCATTAACATTAGTTTCTCATTAAAAAGGGTGGTCTTTCTAAGAAAAAATGGATCACCGCGCTTTTCCGGCCGCATAGCGCAGTTAGTAGCAATTTTGGTTATCTGTCAGACCAACCGCGGGTTCGAATCCAACAGAGGTATCTAAAAGTGTGATATCAGGAAAAAAAACGTTTCTTCGAGTTCCTCCTTTAACTGTTTTTGCTAAATATAGTGCCTAATTGATTATCCCTCGAAGGTTAATTGGCAGGCATCAGCTCCGCTCTTCACGCGTTCATCCTGTTTTGTCCGTTTGAATCCATTTATGTTTTTGCCGAGAGTTCACAAAGGCTCTCAAGCTTCACAGTCTTCTATCATTACTTGATATATTACTTTCGATTAAACATCGACTTTTATTCTGTACTCCCTCATGGTGATATTTTTTTTTACCTGTTTTCTTTGCGGCCTCATTGGCTCAGAGGCAAAGCGTCTGCCTCGTGAAGAGAAGATCGCTGGCTCGATTCCAACATGAGGCACGATTTTTTCCTGTTTTTCACAATATCATCATATTCGGACACAGTTTTTTCGTTTCATTTTTCTGATCGTAGGCCTAATTTTGAATGTTTCTCTGTCTCTTTTTTCTTTTCCCCCTTCCTCTATCGTCAGACTCCAAGGGCGGCAGCTTTGATTGCCGCGTTGTTTTTCCATTCATTATCACATCATAAATATTCTTATGAGCTTTCGTGGGAAACTCATATCTTTGAAGTTTTGAATACACCGTTACAATGAATGATTGTGGTGGTGACTTAGGGAGAGACGGAGCCCATTGTGGGGGTCTTATTGTGTTTTCAATTTTGCCTTGTTAGGACAAGGATTAGTCTCCAGCTTTATTTTGTTGCATTTCTTTTTATCGAGGTTAACTTCACAATTTTTGGGTTTTTAAGTTCTGCCTGCCTTCTGTTTTTGGTTCACAATCTAGCCTATTGTAAATCCATATTCTTTTTTGGGACTTTCAAAGTCGGTATTTTCTATATCAAGATAAAATAAGTTTTCAATAGTTGTGAACGATGAAAACACATATTGCAGTGATATCCAAAACGTTCGCTTAAATTCTGATTTTTCGATTTTGGCTGAAATTATTGCCAAGAATCGACTTTACAGGCCGAAAATACTGAAAAGTTTAGTTTATGAGATTTTGTTCCCAAAAGTAAGAAGTTAACCACCTGGAGCACGTTTTGAACAAATTTGGCCTTCATATAGTCTAGCGTTTCCATTCCCTCCTTCTTCCGATCCTCTAGTTCGAAAACAGTTCCATTTTTTTTCAATTTTTTCAATTTCAAATCTCTCTCCATACGTACTTTGACTGCTTTTGTGTAGCCTATTCCTCTGTCTTTTTGATAATTTGTTGGCAAGAATTCCCGTGTTTCAAATTAATTGAGTTGTTTTCAGCCGTAATGCCACAATATTTTGGACAACGTGCTGGCCGAATTCAAACACACACCTCCGTCTCCACTGGATCGCTGGACGCCACACAAGTAAATGCTCTGTTGGATGTTCCAGTCCCAAATTTGGAAGTCAACAAAGTGAAATCCGATTTCACTGCTTGGAAAGACAAATACCAAGCACGATATTGGCCCTTCTGCCGCTACATACTGGACCGGGCGGAATCCGGGCTGAGCGATTATTTGAATAAGTGCGAACAAAAGGAGAGAAATCGGCAACACCTCACCAGAATCCACAACTTCTTGGTAATGTCGGAGGAGATGCAAAGGGACATCTGGCAGATGAACTTGTGGAAGGACAGGAAAAGGAAGTTTGTTTGGCCAGTGGATGATGATGCACCCGACGACAACGGTGAAATGGATATGGAGGTGGACGATGTGGATTTCGAGAATCATCATGCCGCTGTCAACGATGTGGCAATGGGAGAAGAAATTGGAACTGCGCCACTCGTTGTTACCCAGGAGTCCGCAGCAGCCAATGGTCAAGCATATGACGAAAAGTGAGTAAAACCTGATGTTTTTTTAAGGCTTCTCAACTAGGATGGAACTAAAAATTATTTTTAAAAGTTAAAAAAATGTTTAATGCAGTTTATTTCACGAAGGATAGAACCAGTATGGTAATTTTTAATTACCTTTAACTTTACGATATAATTTGAATACGATCCCCCAAAATGTTACCCTAGAATAGCCCCTCACCGGTAAACTTTCCTGTTGATGACGGTTAATTGAAATGCCTGGGAAATAAAAAAGAGCCCTCATCTATGCGTTTAAATGCATTGCAGATTATCGAATGCGGACATAGAAGGAAATTTTTTTCCAGTCCCTTATTCTCCTTAGGGGGCTCTGTTTGAATTAAGGCGACTTTTTTAGTTGGAGCTAATCAATTTCGTTTTTTTTTCAGAAGATCGGAATTCGACGTAGAGGAATATCGAGAGCAAGTAAGCCGAATACAGAAGAAGGTATTGTTCCGATTCCTTGGAGGAGGAGCGATTTCAGGACGGAAACCTTTGGAGGCGGAAGTTGTTGATTCGCCCGACAACGGAAGCTCCCGCAGCACCTTCCTATCATCCCTTCGCGAACAACTCATTCGTCCTGCTCCGCTATTCACTGCTGACTGGCATGGGCCAGACCCAAATGATCGATCGATTTCCTCTACACCACCACCACTTCCAGAGCACTACTCCTTAGCTCAGTCTCAACAGAGTTCGGCCAACACCATATCCTCTGTAAGTTGTGGGTTAAGAGTGTGTATATGAGGCCTGAACTTCTGTATGCTTTTCTTATCAATTTGATCCCAGTTATATCTTATTTATTACAGCCAACTTCCCAAGAACAAGAGGTAGTTGATGGGTCAAAACAGATGCATGTGTCCGTTGTGTCATCTCGGCAGCAGGTGAAGAAGTTGTAAGCTGTTTTGTTTTTTTCCAATATAATGAGAACAATTTTCCAGCAAACGCGCTACAACGTTGGAGATGCAACCAACCGCTAAAAGACTCAAGACCGCAGAAGAGTGAGTAAAAACGAATGTTTTTAAGGCTTCTCTACCAGGGTGGAACTAAAAATATTGTTTAAAAGTTGAAAATTTTTAAAATACAGTTTAGTCCACGGAGGACAGGGCCAGTATTGTAGTTTTTAGTTACCTTTGACTTTACGGCATAATTCAAATATCATCACACAAACGTAATCCTGGAATAGCCCTCTCAGCGGTAAACTCTCCCGTTGTTCAAGATAACAATTGTTCAGCTTTTTTTCCAACATTTTTCATATCTTTAAGTGCGCAACTGGTTTAATTCATATTTTCAAATAATTCCCATCTTTTGACCAGACTTAGACATCAGATTGTGAGGATTTCGTATTGAATAGAGTACGGGACTGTTTTTGAGTAAGAGGAGGGGAGGGGCTAATGTAAAAGAAAGGAATTCAAGTTAGACCCCACAACCTAAACAAAAGTCTCTAACCCGATTTGTACTGGTGAGGGGGCTCTCCTTGAATTAAGCCGACTTTTTTAGTTGGAGCTAATCAATTTTGTTTTTTTTTTGCAGATTGGAATTCGACAAAGAGGAATATCGAGAGCAAGTAAGCGGATTTCAGAAGACGGCATTGGTCCGATTCCTTGGAGGGGGAGTGTTTGCAAGACGGAAGCCTGTGGAGATGGAAAGATTGCAAGGTGTTGTTTCGCCCGACAACGGAAGCTCCGGCAACACTTCAACAAATGGTGGAACACAGAACGATCGATTGACCCTTTTGAGAAACCAAGCTATTATACAGCAGGTATGAATTGACAAAAATTGTCGTATGTTGACAATATAATTTTGTAGGAGGAGGCTGAAGCACGAGTAAGAGCCCAGAGGGCAGCCGACCAAGTCCTAATGGCACGGATCTTGGAAAGGGAGTATTTGGCGGTAAAGAGGATGACAACTGTGGATAAGCCCAACGACGTCAATTACTTCTCCAAAGATCGTACTCGTCCTCCACTATTCACTGCTGACGGGAGATGGAATGGGCCAGACCCCAATGCTCCATCGACTTCTTCTGCACCACCACCACTTCAAGAGCGATACTACTTTTTTTAACCTGTGAGTAAACTTTTCAAGGAATATTATTATTAGAAAGAACATACCATAGTTATAGTACCCTTATTGTAATTCTTGCAAGATGTAATTCAATATTCTAATTTTCAGAGCTGTCCTTCACGTCTGATCTTCATCCAATGTTCTTATCGTCAACCCGTCCGCTGTTCCAATGTTTTCTTATGATCTGTTTATGTTCAAACCCTGTTAAGTCAATTGTACCGTAAGCTTAAGCTCTTTTAATTGTCCCTTAAAGGTCCTAATTCAATCTCGAACTTTTGTTCTCTCAACCTCAAAAACTTCTGAAAACCCCTAAAAAATAGAATAACTCCTAAAAAACCCAAAAAAATTCTCTCGATGTTTTATTTTTCAAACGTTTCCAACTTCATATTGTTTGCTTTGTTCCTGTTCCTGGTACTATTTGTTGCATTTTTTTATTAGTTCACTGGGATAGCCGTTTGTTCACCTCCAATTTTTTCATATTCTCTGTTTTCATTTTAACACTGTTAAGTTAACTGTACCATAAGCGTAGGCTTTTCTATTGTTTAGTACCCCTAATGGATCTTCTTTCGATTAGGTACAAAAACTCAAACTGTTGTACCACAATTTCAAAAAATTTCAAAAAACCCGAAAAAAAAGAAATATTTCCTAAAACCCAAAAAACTCAATGTTTTATTTTTGAATGTTTTTCTAACTTCATATTGTCCTCTTTGTTACTGTTCCTGGTTTGAATTGTTGCATTTTTCTATTGATCCACTTCCTTTTGTTGTTTATGCCCAAAAAAGTTTTTTATTATTTTTTCGCTAACAAAATAAATTGCTCTTTGTTTCAAAACAAAAAATGTTCAGTAATTATGCTCACAGAATTGAGTTCACCAGATGTATCATTCAAAACTTATTAGTTTAATTTAGAACGGGGGACTTCGATAATTCCACAAGGCTCTCGTAATATCTGGTTTCTTCGAAGATTTCCTTCTTTTTTGCTCTGTTTCGATTATAATGTTTAGCTCTTTTTAGTTTATTTTTTATTGTCCTATCAACGTTTCTGCAAATACCATCATCAGGTTTGAACTCAAAGGAGAAACTTACGTATTTTGATAATCTGTAACCGGGAAGTTCATCAATAAAAGTTTTTGAATTCATTTCTTTGATATTCCTGGGATGATTACTGAAACGGTTGTTAAGTGGATCACTCAAAAAACGTAAGTTGAAGCTTTACGAGTATACAGTCCCTATTGCGACTGATCCAAAATAAAATTTCAAACTATCGTAACTCCATCAAATTCAGGTCTAACCGTAACAAAAACTGAATTTTTGAATTTATTCCGCCGAGACGGTTCGAGAAAGTATAATCAAGACTAGGTTTGTTGGATTCACCTCAAAGGCGCATGGAACCTTCAAACTACTGTAACTCCGTTAATTCCCACCCGCCGTAAAAGAAAAAATGGTGAATTCAAAATACCTA